TAGATTGAGCACTCAAAGCCTCAGCCAGGCCGAGTACTCAAAGCCTCAGCCAGACCGAGCACTCAAAGCCTCGGCTAGACCGAGCACTCAAAGCCTCAGCCAGACCGAGCACTCAAAGCCTCAGCCAGACTGAGCACTCACAGCCTCGGCCAGACCGAGCACCCAAAGCCTCGGCCACACCGAGCACCCAAAGCCTCGGCCACACCGAACACTCAAAGCCTCAGCCAGACTGAGCACCCAAAGCCTCAGCCAGACTGAGCACTCAAGGCCTCGGCCAGACTGAGCATTTCAAAACCTCAGCCAGACTGAGCACTTCAGAAGCCTCAGCCAGACTGAGCATTCAAAGCCTCAGCCAGACTGAGCACTCAAGGCCTCGGCCAGACTGAGCACTTCAAAGCCTCAGCCAGACTGAGCACTTCAAAAGCCTCAGCCAGACTGAGCATTCAAAGCCTCGGCCAGACTGAGTACTCAAGGCCTCGGCCAGACTGAGCACTTCAAAGCCTCAGCCAGACTGAGCACTTCAGAAGCCTCTGCCAGACTGAGCACTGCAAAGCCTCAGCCAGACTGAGCACTTCAAAGCCTCAACCAGAACTGAGCACTCCATGCTGAGATCATCCTATCCACGAAATTTCGTAAAGCAGGACCACGTTTTTAACACTCAGTCACATTTTGAAACTTATTCACAATTCCAGGATCACGTTTTTACTTAGTTAGATTCCAAAGGTGTTCTCACGTATTTCATTTACTAATCAGATTATCTCCCACCCCACCCAACTTGTTTCTCCAATCTCTTCTCTACAAGTTTACAATTAACCGTTTAGTTACGATTTGCAACCTACTTTTCTGTCCTCATCCATGGATTCTTCATCCGTACTTATTAAACTGGAAGTACTAACCCCATTCGAATATTATGTTCTACAATTTCATAATCCAATTTTTCAATAAACCACTATCATCCTTTCAATTTTCATACAAATCCAATCTCACTCTGTAGGGAGGAACTTTTAACTTAACTTTGCACGAAATTTTTATTGCACAATTTTTATGACCAGTTTTATGACAAGACTTCATTCATTTTAGACAATACAGGCCAACACAGTCAACTGACAACATAAACGAAATTTTATTCATTTACAATGTGTACACAAGTTCATTACAATAAAATAAAAAAAAAACAAACACAGAAAGGGGGCTCTTCATCTCCCTTGGTTATTCCTCCTCGCTGGATACAAGCTCTTCTTCTTCAATGCCCTCGTCCAGGGGGGTCTGGGCCACATCATCTTCACCAATCGTTACACTACTCAGGTCCAAGTCTGGGAACAGCTCTTCAGCTCTGCGTTTGAACATCTTCCAACCGTTGTCCCAGAACTCAGCCATTTCGTGCTTGTAGAAGTCTGACTGCTAGAAGCTCTCAATAACTTCTGCCCCCGTCCTACCTCCAGCAGTTGTCCTTGATGGGCCCACCCTCCCAAATTCTTGCCCAGCCAGGTTCCTGGCGACTGCGGCATCTACTGCCATCTGAAATTCGGGAGACCCTTTGTATTGCTCCACTGCTGCGACGCACAGATCGGGGTAGGCCGCCCTCTCAGAAGCCGCCTTCGCCCTCTCTTCGTCCAGCTCTCTCTGCAGGGCCCCCCTTTCAGCAGCCGCTGTTGCCCTTTCCTCTTCCATTCCTTTCCTCAGACTCTCCGTCTCCGCCATCGCCTTCGCCTTCTCTACTTCCAACTCCCTCACAAGCCTCCCCTTCTCCTCTTCTGCTTTAGCGCGCTCATCCTCCAACTCCTTCAACAGATCTCAAATTCTGGCATCTGCTTCATCTTTTTGCCTGACCAGCTCTTCATTGCTGCTCATGGCCTTTTCATGCCGCTCGACCGCAACGGCACAGGCTCTTTCAGACTCCTCCAACTTTTTCTGTTCGCCAGCCAGTTGGAACTCGAACGATACGACCTTACGGCGTGTGTCCTCTAGCTCCAACTTGACTGCTTGCAGCTCAGCATGGGCAGTCTTCCAGTCGGCACTCTCCTTCTTCAACTTGGCCAACTGGGCCTTGGCTTCTTCAGCTTTTAGCTTGGCAGCCCCTCCTTTCCTTAGAAGGGCCCCTGCCAAGGTGGTTACCTCCATTTGGGCGGAGCATAACCCCGTCAGCAGGTCAGCCTCATTGAATCCGGATGCCGAGCGCAGGGCTGTCTCCTCCACAATCTTCACCAAGCGGTCTGCCCCCGCTTTGGCTGGGCCTTCTTCTCCCTCCAACCTTCCAGCTACCGCGCGAGCGTGATAGATTGCCGTGGCCAGACGGACCCCTCCTTCCTGGGGGGCAGGGCCCCTTTGGGTCTGCTCCCTCCCGCTCGCCTCAGCCTCAGTCAACCCAACTTCTACTTGCATTGTTGGGGCAGTCTCCACAACCTCTAGTGTTGGGGTGACCCCCACCACCTCTGGGGTATCCTTGGCCATAGGGGCCTCCACCTCAGCTGGGGCCACCTTAGCCTTCTTGGCCCCAGACTTATCTGCAGCTCCCTCTAGAGCACTCCTCTTCTTTTTCTTCTTCTTCTTCAGAGCCTCCCCCTCCTTTCTGGCCTGTTCTTTTACAGGATCTACTGGGGGCGGTCGTGGCTCAAAACTGCTTAAGTCCTTCCCCCCTAGCGGCCTTGGGTGCGGTCGGATCCTCTCCCACGCGATCGGTTGAGGCGGTCGTTCTCCTCACGCTTCCTTCAACTTCGTGGCTTTGGCAAGTATGGCCTGATCCTCTGCTTCCTGAACTTCTCTTCTCGCCTCCAATTCTGCTCAGTCGAGGTCCCCACCCCTCGGCTGCGGTCCCAACCCTGCCTCAAACAATGCGGACGGCTGAACAAGCTCGTCCCATTTGGCATTCTCTCTCTCCCTCCACTCCTTCACCCTCTTTACCCTCTCTTCCGCCGCTGCCCCCAGTCTTGGCTCCATCGACCTAACGGGCACCTTCCAGATGGTGCGCACTCCCAGCCCCCCATTGGCAGACACGTAGAACCACCGTGGCCGCCACCCCTTGATCGATGTCGGCAGCCCCGCCACCAACCCCCTCCCCATCACTGCCTGTAGGGTGACCCACGTCTCTTGCTGCCCCGAAGCCTTATAACAGGAAAAGAACTTGTCTATCGCCATGGCTTCCCCTCCATTCGTCTTGGGCCACGCGCTAGCACAGGCCAGTAGAATCTTCCATGCATTGGGCATCAATTGCCCCGGTGCTACCTCCAGACGGTTCAGTACGTCCATCATCACTTGGGGCAGTGGCAACCTCAGCCCACCTTTTAGCGCCTCCTCGTAAAGGGAAAACTCCTCTGGCCTGGCATTAGACGGCCTTTCCCTTGATGTTGGCAGTAATAACTCCACCTCAGCCGGAATCTGGTATTTTTCCCTGATAGCCTCCAAATCCGCCGCAGTAATTGTGGATTTGTCAGCCTTAGTGTGCCACTGATCCGGCTCTACCTAGCTTATTGGCCTTGGAGCCACTATCAGGGCCGACGCTTGCGATTGTCCCACTGGTTCCCCCACCCCCACCATTCGTGTCTCCGTCCTATATCGCGCTGCTAGCTCCTCTGCATCATCGTCTCCCAGGGGGTCCACCCTCACATTCCCCACTTCTTCTTGTGCCATTTCTAGGGTTTGCTTACGAATCACTTCTGACGCAGGAGCAAGGAAGTTGAGAAAATGTTGCACAGGCGTGTCGTACGCAATGAAGGAATTAACACTTGGGTATTTTGAGTTTTTTGTAAAAAAGGTAGGTGAAATGAATTATACCAAAAACCCACGGTTTACCCGTATTCCATGGATCCAATTAAATTTTCGCCCGTTTTAAAAACCTTTCAAATCAACCGCCAAAACTGCCTTTTCAAAACCCCCCTCGTGACCTATCGTTTCATTTCTGCTCCAACGTTCACTTCCCCCACGATATTGCCACGTGTATAGCCACGATGCACTGTTCCCTCCCCTTACCCTATCCTTTACATTTCACATCATCACATGGACCCCTCCTTTTTTGAGCCCACGCCGTCCTGGTCGGGCGCGCCCCACGCTCGGCGCCCGTCCGCTCGGCCACCCTTGCGGTCGGCACGCCTAACGGTCGACCCCTCCCGCTCGGCCACCCTTGCGGTCGGCACGCCTCACGGTTGACCCCTCCCGCTCGACCACCCTTGCGGTCGGCACGCCTTGCGGTCAGCACGCCTAACGGTCGGCCTCTCCGCTCAGTTCGCACTTCTCTTACTTATTACTATTCCTTTCGCTGGACTAAAGCTGCACTCGGAAATTGGGGACTACTGACATGGATAGGCCCATAAGGCTTACAGCCCACAGCAAACAACCCCAAACCCATCGCTTGGGACCCATAGCATAACTCGGCTGGCAAAGCCCAGGACAGCTGGAGGCCATCTGGGCATGGAGTGCCAATGACATTCGGGCACATGGCAGGTGAAACACAGGCCACATCAACAGACAAAGACCTGCAGAGTTATTGCCACAACACATCACCATTAATGCAGTCCATCACAGCATTTATTACGACAACACCTCCCCGTCGGAACAGAGCCCCCTCACCCTGAATAAGTTAAGCTACGGCACAGGCTTTCGGCAGAAGGGGGCACGTCGCAAGGGACAATGAAATGATTACCAAAGGATATAAGCAAGAATCGAAGACAGGATGAAGGTTAAGCTTTTCTATCTCTCTCTCTCTATATTTCCTTCTTCCTCTACTGATTTACTCGCCGGAGGGTTCATTGGGGGACTACCCGTTCCCCTTTGGACTTGCTTGCAGGTCATTTGGTGGAATCATCCGCCTGGATCGGAACTTGAAGAGGTTGGACCAACTCGACCCATCCACCTAGGACGAACTGCATCATCACTAACTAAAATGTTTAATTTCCAAACGAGGCATTAGACACAAATTTTTTATGTACATAGTACAACATGGAATTACGTGCATACAACGAAAATTAACAACTTTAATGCTTGATCACTTTTTCCTGGCAATAGCAATACGTCCTCATAGAGCAAATTCCGATTCTTCCAACCGAGGCGTTGAAATTTCCTCATTTCATCACTCACTCTCGCCTCCATCTCCTGAATCACTCCCAGACACAGTTTGCATATACACACAAACACACATATATAGAGAGAGAGAGAGAGATGGGGGCAGTGACGACTGCGGTGATAGCAATAGCAGGGCTGGTGTTGGGATGGGCAGCAATTGAGATCGCTTGCAAGCCTTGCCTCGAGAAGGGTCGCGAAGCCATCGATCGCAATCTCAATCCTGACTACGATCCCGATGATGACAACATTCGTGCCCCTCTCATTCCAAACCCTCCTGTTGATGCTGCTGACGATTCTGATTCCACTTCTAGCCTCATAAAGACTGTCTGATTGATCTTTCTCAATCTTGGGTACTTTCCCTCATCTTCCTCAATTTCTGGTGTTTGTTTTCCTGGAAATGGAAAAAAAAATAAAAAAATTTGAAAAGGGTTTTCTGGGTTTTCCTTGATTGTGCGCAGTTTGTTTGGCAGAGAATTGAATTTGTCGCTCTACTTTCCTCTACTTTTTTCTTTTTTTTTTTTTTTTTTGGGTTTTTTTTTTGGGTGTTTGTTTTCCTGGAAAAAGAAAAGAAGAGAAGAGTCGAAAGTTTTCCTTGATGGTTAGTTTATTTGGCAGGCTTTAGCTTTATTGCTCTAATTTAAAGTTTGAAATATCTACATTGTTAATCTGAATGCTATGTCAATTTGTCAAGTACATATTTAATATCTCTGTAAGGTTTTCAATTATTGTCTTTTTGAAATTGAATCTCTAATTTTTAATGTGTTTTTAATAATCATATCAATAAAAAAAATTATTGATTCAGCATTCTAAATCAAATGCTAATAATATTAAAAATTGGAGTCTGGGCGTGTTTGATTCATCGGATTAGGAGGGACAATCCACTATTTGGATTGTAATCCATTGAAGCCTCTTTATCCGCCGTTTGCTTTTTTTTAGTCCGCCGGACTCCATGTCCTGCCAGACTCCTTATCCCTCATATAGGCGATTTCGCTGTCCCGGGGAGGGGGGGGGTGTGGGATAATGTTGGTAGGATTATTTACTGTTTGGATTAGAGGGGTGAGATGATCATTTTGCTCTCATAATATATATTTTGCTTCCTCTATAATTGTGGCACAGATCAATAGTGTTTTGTGTTGGACATTTATGGAGTGCTGGTGTCAATATAATTTTTGTTCATTTATGGAGTGCTATTGTGTTGGATATAAGACTATGAAGTGCTGGTGTGCTGTGTAGGACAAATAAACAGATTTAATAATTAATTGTGGTGCGAAAAAAAAAATGGTGCTAAAAAAAAAATTTGAAAAAGATTTTGTTTATATTTTATTTAAATATAAATAAAGATTACAAATAATTAATTGTGGTCCACTAATCAATTATAAATAAAGATTACATGTAAAGACAGATTTAATATTGTTATTTTATTGATGTTTTATTTTAAAATTTTGTTTATATTTTATTTAATTTTATTATTTAAATGTTAATAGATGTTTTATTTAATTTCATTGTTTAATTATTATTATTTTTAAAAACAAATTTATTTAAAATTTTAATTAAAAAATAACATATATTTTTGTTGATATTTTATTTATTTAATTTTAAAAAAATAAATTTATTTAATTGTGTAAAAAATAAAATAAAATAAATTTTTATTTAATCTAGCTAAAAATAATTAAAATATTAAAGATATATTTAATATTGCTATTACTTAGTAAATAATTGAAAAATGATAAAATAGTTTTTTGCTCATTTATCCTATCTAGTCTGTCCAACCAAACGTTGGGTTCACTAAAAATAGTCCTTTCCAAACATCTAATCCCATGAAAAAACAAACACATGATACATATTCAATCCAACTAAATAGTCCGGGGATTCACAGTCCCAGGACTCAAGTCCGATAGATTCTAATCCCCTCTTATCCAGTCCGTCTAATCAAACACACCCAAATGGCTTAGTTTTCTTTAGCAAAAATTATGATAATCTGGTTGAAAACAACTTTAACGCTTGATCACTTGCCAAACATAAATTAAGCAACTTTTCATGCTTACCTTTCAGTATTGACCTTACAATTAACCTGCAACTTGGTGTTAGCACTTATGTTACACGACTCGGGTACTAGTATTGGGTGCAAGTGGGTGTAAGCTGTGGCATTATATCTTCTTGAACGTAAATCTCAGGATGTTCAGACTTAGGATATGCATCTAAAGTTGGGTATGCATACGGGAAGATTACTTAAACACACATATATTGCATGTTGTATAATATTCTTGGATAACATATTTCTGAGAGAAAATATGGAATTTATATCTCTCATTATGTGACAAGCTAGAAATATTTGTTTACTAGCAAATGGGAGCGTTTTTTTCTTCAAACACATACCAAATTAGAGGATTCAAGTGTCTAAATTGGGTGCTTGCATCAGGTACATATCCCACACTCTTGTCGTATTGATGAACACGGGTACAATGGGAAAGTAGAAGAGTCAAGTGTAACACAAGTTGTTGCTGCGAGTCATCGTTTTGAGACATGCCCTGTACCTAACGGGTTGTCACAGACCTCATCAAGTTAGTTACCTTACTCTGAACTGGTCTACTGGTAGTCCCCTTGTTGGCAGGAATTTTAGAATTTAGATGCTAATGTTTCAAGTGCTTCCTTGTGGCCTTATAGCTAGTTTTCTTTGGTTAATAACAGAATAAGAAGAAACAAAAGGATTTCATAGATCTTGTAAGGCACTGAAACTAAGAGCATGAACAATGGCAAAAATTGTGGTGTTGGTTGAAAAAAAAGAGGGTAACTTTGATGTTGATAGAGTTGCAAATCCCATATTGAATTGAAACTATGGATAATTCTTGCAGTGGTTAATCTGAGTTTGGGGGCCTAATTCTTAAAGAGCAAAACCCTATTGAGTTGCTAAAGGTTGTTTGCTTGGTCCCCACACCGTGTCTGCACGCATCTGCTATTGTTTTTAATTGAGATGTGGCATCATTTGGTAATCATGAAAGCCCATTAATTAATCTAATCAAGAATATTTTATGGTGTAGATTGTCAAGACAATTAAGGGGTGTATATTAATATATCTAGTGTTTTGAGTGTTGGACATTGAACCTTTTTTCTGTTCTGCTTATACAACGACTTTTGATATACACTTCATATGGGAAGGGAGAGACTTTCTGGACATTACAACTATATAGGAGATTTATACCGACTGGGCATATGAAGAATGTGGTGATGGAAGTAAATAAAATCATTTTGTGCGTCATTTACCAAATTCTAGGAATGTATCCTTGTGATGAAAGTGATTTTGTGGGCAAGGCTTGTTTGGATGATGTAATTGTGACATGGTAACGGCTTGTTTGGATGATGTAATTGTGACATGATAAGTGGTTACCGTCTTTAAAATGAAGTGTGTAGGGTAAGAAAGATTCCCAAAATCAAATAACGGTCACTCTTCTCCAATTTTGTCGTGAACTCTGTGGTAGTAGTTAGAAACTTACACGAGACAAATCATGATCTCTAAGGAATGCTTAATTGATGCCATTACATTAACATTTCTATAACTATCAACTAGTAGCAAAAAGCATTACTTAAGAAAGTATATCATGAATGTCATGTATATCATGAATGTCATGTCCGGGTAGAGTCTTGAGAATGCCTCCTTGCATATGTTTCTTGTAATTTTAGCCAGTGACTTCGTCACTAAAATAGGAACATAATGAACAAAAACTTGAATGCTATTCTGATCTTCCTTCACAAGTTGTCAAATGCAACAATGTGCAAACATATATTGAAGTAAATAACTAGACCACTCTTGAACTCACCGTCTTCATAAACTGACATTTGTTTTGGATTCTCTATGAGTTTGCATCAAGTGCAAGTATATATTAAATTCATACTATACAGTCTGTATCCATGGGGATGCTTACAACGATTGGTGACTGTCTTGTGTTGAGGTGAAAAGGAAGTGATTTATTTTTTGAGAATGGAAAGCTAAAACAAAGCAAATCACATGAAAACCCCATATTTCTTCTTTGTAATTTTCCCTTCTTTTTTTTATTTTTTTGACTCTTTTTATTTAATTTTTCAAGCAGCCACTGGCTTAAAAGCTGTTTTAAGAAAATAAGATATATTCTTTGCCTAAAACAAGGACTCACAAAAGGCAGGTAACAGCCAGCTTTGTTTGGTTTTGTCAGGCATCTCCAACGCTTCATCAAATCTGGCATCAAATTTAAAATTAGGTAAAAAAAACACTTTTTTATGCTCCAACGGTTTCACCAAACTGGTATCAAATTGAGAATTCATCAAACAAATCATCAAAGCGAGGACAGAATACAGCTTTCAGCAAATCACTGTGTGTGACCGTTGGAGGAGAGGAACCGGTCAACCAGCCGGTTGCCCGGCCGGTTGACCAACCAGTCGACCAACCAGTCGACCGGTTTCTTATCAAATAGGTAGGTTCAAACAAGTCAAAAGGTTCAAACAAATTTAAAAAAAAAAAAAATTTGTGGTTGACCAACCGGTCGACCAAGAAATTGCTGATTCTAACATAGAAAACTCTCAATTGAAACCACGGCGATGATGAAGCAGGACGAGAGAAATTGTTGATTCAGGACCTCAATCCATGTAATTGTGAAGCAGACGAGAGAAACCCTGATCCAGAACCAAGAGGTCATTATTGGATTTTAGAAAATGATAAACAGTGAACTGTGTAAATTTCATAATTAAGGCAACAAATAGTGAATGAGATCAACTAGATAGGAGAACCCAGAAACCCTTTGTGATCAAATACGTAAGTTTGTGATCAAATCTACTACATCAACAAAATCCAAATTCCAAATTGAGCAAAAAGTAGATTGAGCTGAGGTTAATACCCTGAAAGTCTCTCTGCACTTGAGAGAAAGAGAGCTTTAGAGAGAGAAAAATCAGAAAAAACCTGTCGGCAATTAAGAATAAAACAAGGTAATAAACAGAACAACCCACCACAGAAAAGAATAGAAAAAAAAAAAATTATGGCCTTACCGATCGATCAACCGGTTGGCCCACAGAAATTTGATGCACCATTGGAACGACTGATATCAAATTGAGAAAATGAGTCATTTTTTACTCAAATTTGGTGAAAAAGAAGTTCACCGTTGGAGATGCTCTCAGAAACTATTTTTTGATATATCTAAAAAGTTTTAAATAATAATAAATAAATAAAAAAAATACTAAAATATGGGGAAAAAAATTTACTAAAAACAAAAAAGAAAAAAAAAAAAGAACTAGAAACAAAAAATTTGAAAATAGTTATAAAAAAATTAAACCAAATTTTTACTTTTTAGATGTACTTAATTAGGTGCATCTAAAATATATATATTAAAAAAAATTGATTAAAATATTAAAAAATTCAATAAAACTTATCTAAAAACAATTTTTAAAAGAGGTAATTGTTGAAAAGTCTAACTTAAAAGCGGATTTAAAACATTAGGTCAAGTGGATATTTTTTTATTAATAAGAGGTGTACTATTTGTGAAATAGTCTGGTGAGAAATCATTTTGTTTATTTTGAATGACATTTTATTTTTAATTTTTTTTCTTAATTTATCTATTTACTTTTTTTTATCCATTGACTTTTTTTAGCTATCTATTCAAATTACTTTCTATCTATTTAAATTTGGAAGACATTTTTCTTCAGTCCACTGTGTGGACCAAAGCGTACTGTTGGGCCAGTGGGGCCCACCACAGGTCCTCTT